AAGCAAAACAATCGTACAATGTAAAAAAATTAATTTTCAGAGTTGAAATTAAAATAATTATTGAAGAATGTTTTATAAGCATATACTATGTCAAAATTTAATGTTTAATTCGCTGTTACTTGCCATTTTTTGTAATTAATTGTGACATCCAGTAGCAATTTCTGAGTGAAAATGTTTCAAAATAAATCCTACATCAGTTTTTTTTCCAGTGTAATTGAGATTTATGAACATTTTCCACCTTCTTTCTAACCTATTCATTAAACAGGCTGCTGTACCTTTAAGACTTGACCTCTTGGGGTCAAATATGTTAATGAGCTCACGGTTGTGATGTCATAATCACAATGATTTCTGAATGAGTCATGTTTGCTGTTTTTAGTTTCATTAAATGCTCTTGTAATTTAAAAGTTTGGCATTCGCATCATTACCAAAGCTGTTAATATGCATGTTATCCGTTACTGTGGAAACAATGACACAAATCTGCATATTAGACTATTAACTTCACCATGCACCACAGAAAATGAACATCATGTGGTTGCAGAGGCAAATTAAATGCGTATGTACAGCTCGTATTTGCATAATCACGTGTGCACATACATATTCATGTCGCACATTTGACTTGAAACTTGTCAAGAACGTTTACAGCTCATATTTCACCCCAAATCAAATAAATAAATAAGAAAGTATATTTTGCTTACACAAAAAGAAGCCTGTTTTCTGGACCATAAAGAGCTTTTTTTTCTGTAGCATACTTTCTTAACAATATATCAGCATATGGCATTAAATAAATAAATAAGAATTAATGTAATATACAGCAGAAACTATATACAAACAGGGTAATTTTAGTTAAGTTACTTTAGTATCATTGTGATAGTATAGGTTTTATTAAGATTTAGATTTTTAAATATATTTTCTGGTTTCAATTTCATTTTAAAGTTTTAGTATTTTTGTTTAGTGCTTTTGTCATTATTTCTTAATCATAAGAAAGACTTTTTCATTAATTTATTATATTAATATATTATATAATTAATATAATAATAATAAATATATTAGGGTTCATTTAAAAGGGATATTTTAGTTATTAGGTTATTTTGGTATCTCTGAGATGCAACTATAGTTTTTATTAATGTTTTTCAATTGTTTTTATTTTTATATTTTCTTTTTTTTCATTTTATTTGTAGTGTTTTTGTAATTTAGTTTTATGCTTTTGTCAGTTTTTTATGTTTTATTAATTTTTTTATCCATGAGGTATAAATACATTACAGTTTGCATTTTATACATATATAAATATATTAATATTACATTATTTAAAATTCTAAATTGTAGCGAATCGACACACATATATATATATATATATATATATATATGCATACATATAATACAAATTGTAATGTAATTATACCTCACGTTTTGTTTGTTGTGTCCTAGACATGTTTTCATAACATTCACCCATCTACTGTACTGTAAGTCCTACTGTACAATTATCATGCATCAGAATCACAGAAGAATATGATAGACACTGGTAGCAGATTGAAATACATCTGTGATGCTGCAAAAAAGCGAGATAATGTGTTGAAACGCAGCCCTGATATAATCCCTTCAGTCCGGATTCATGACGGGATGAATATTCCACGCGGGTCGGCTGGTGAGCGGGCGGAAAATCACCTGTTCATGCTGGATTTATGAGCGTTGTCTCAATCGCGCCTCTGTCTTGTCAAGTCTCACAGTAGCCAGTCATCCATGACACACAAAACAGGCCGGACCTGAGAGCGAGGGAGATGAGAGACAGATACATAAATGAAGCCTTTCAGCAGCTCTGCATTATTTAAACATCCACTAAATATTCATCTGCCTTTAGACCAGAGGCCAGAAACATGCAGACTGAACCTGAACACCAGCATATTACACACAAAGACAACATGACTTTTTGCAATATATTTTTTAAACAGTTTGCAACACATTTTTCTTAGATAATCGGCATACTTGTGTTGCATTATGAATTGTTTTCAGACACAATACATGTGCAACCACACATTTAGGTACAACCAAAAGCATTTTTTTCATAAAATTGGATTAAAGGTCATGATTGTCTGAAGATGATTTTAGTTATTAGGTTATTTTTACTATCATTACAAAACTATTATAGGTTTTATATGATCTATAACAGGTAATATAATGAATTAGTTTTTGTTTATATTTTCTGTTATCATTTTAATTGCAGTTAAAGATTTAGTAATTTTGTTGTATTTTTTTTGTCATAGCTTTCATTAATTTATATATAAAATATAGGGTTGTTTTAACAGGTTTACTTTAATTATTAGTTTATTTTAGTACCGCTGAGATATTAAAGTTGATCTTTTATAAATATGTTTTAATTTAAATTTAATTAAAGTTTGTTGCATACTTTTGTCATTTTTCCTATTTTCTTTTTTAATATGTCTAGTTTTAATTTATATATAAAATATATTAGGATTAATTTAACAGGGTTATTTCAGTTGTTATTTTAGCATCACTTAGATTTACATTTACATTTAGTCATTTAGCAGACGCTTTTATCCAAAGCGACTTACAAATGAGGACAATAAAAGCAGTCAAAACTAACAAAAGAGCGACAATATATAAGTGCAAATGACAAGTCTCGGTTAGCCTAACACAGTACACGTAGCAAGGTGTATATATATATATATATATTATACACACACACACACACACACACACACAAACAAAGAAAAACAAGTAGATAGAATAGAAAAAATAGAAAGCTAGTTTTTTTTTTTAAATAACGAAAAAAAAAAAGATAAATATAGATAAAGTAGAATTAAAATAGAATAGAAAGTGCTAGAGTTAGAGGGTCAAGTAAAGGTGGAACAGATATGTTTTTAGTTGTTTCTTGAAGATGGGTTAGGACTCAGCTGCTTGGATTGAGTTGAGCAGGTCATTCCACCAGGAGGGAACAGTTAATGTAAAAGTCTGTGAAAGTGATTTTGTGCCTCTTTGAGATGGCACAATAATACGCCGTTCACTTGCAGAACGCAAACTTCTAGAGGGCACATGACTCTGAAGTAATGAATTTAGGTAAATGGGTGCAGAGCCAGAGGTGGTTTTGTAGGCAAACATTAATGCCTTGAATTTAATGCGAGCAGCTACTGGTAGCCAGTGCAAATTGATGAACAGAGGTGTGACATACGTTCTTTTCAGCTCATTAAAGATTAATCTTACAGCGGCATTTTGGATTAATTGTAGAGGTTTGATAGAAGTGGCTGGAAGACCTGCCAAGAGAGCATTGCAATAGTCCAGCCTGGATAAAACAAGAGCTTGAACAAGGAGTTGTGTTGCATGTTCTGAAAGAAAGGACCTGATCTTCCTAATGTTGTATAAAGCAAATCTGCAGGACCGGGCAGTTTTAGCAATGTGGTCGGAGAAATTCTACTTATCATCAATCACAACTCCAAGGTTTCTAGCTTAGAAACTTAGATACTATTATAGTTTTTATTAATATTTTTTTAATTTCTTTTTTTTTGTATATTTTCTGTTTTTATTTTAATGTTAGTTAAGGTTTTAGTAATTTTGTCATTTTTCATAGTTTTTAAATGATCTTTATAGTGTTCATTATGTTTTTGTTTTATTTTTAGTTATTTTATTACATCAAAATAAATTATATAAAAATCTAATTTTGCCAAGGCAAGTGACTGAAAATATGTTTTTTTTTTTTAAATTTCATTTCAGGTAAAGTTTGTTTTATTTCAACTAACTAACTAACTAACTAACTAACTAACTAATTAACTAACTAAATAGTTTTAGTAAACTATAAATTAACTGAATAACACTGAATATGCAAAATAATGAGGTAATGTGAAAACGTTTAAAACATTTATAGTTGCATAATGCATACGTGTGCTAGTGTTCTTATCGTGTGTGAATAAAGCTGAAGGGAAATGTGTCTGTGTTGCTGTGTAATCTTTGACTGTGTGAATAATTAAAGCTGTCTGCTTACCTGCTTATCTTGTCAAGAAACAGATAAAAACCTGCAGCAAAGTTTGCGAAAGCCAAACAGCACGAGACAGAACGACAGAAATACTAAGAGTGATAGTGGGTTTAAAAAACCCCATAAAGATATCCAAAAAACTTTTTGGCCACTGCTTATCAAAACTCTTTAAACACAGTCAACATCAAAACTTTTTATTTTTTTTTAGTCAACATCAAAACTGACTATGTTTATCTTCTTATTAATACGTGTTTCCGGTCTCATTGTAAACCATTCTGAACTTATTTAAAGGGGTCATATGATGCTTTTTTTAAAGATCATTATTTTGTGTATTTGGTGTAACAGAATATGCTGACATACTTTAATGTTCAAAAAACACATAATTTTTCAAATACTGTACATTATTGTAGGTCCTCTATGCCCCGCCTCTCTCAAACGCTTCGTTTTCTACAAAGTCCCTCCTTCCGACAAGCGCAGTCTGCTCTGATTGACCAGCTGACCCAGTGCATTGTGATTGGCCGAACACTGCAAACACTCGTCGGAAATGTAACGCCCCTTACCATAATCGCCAGCTTCATCTTTCAAAATAAATGTAAAGACAGTAAATAATGTCATTAGTTTTACCATCAGTTCAAGCTAATGAAACCACGCCTTCTTTCTTTGCGTGCACATTTGGGCGGCATTATGCAAATATTGCCACATAGTGAGGTAGATATGTGGGGGCGTGTTAGAACGAGCCATTTTAGGGGGGCGTGGCAGAGTCTTAACTTTGATAAAGAATATCTCTTTGGTTTTGAGACTTTAGTCTTTGCAACTTCAGGGATCTTATCTATGCACAATCAGCTTGTAACACTCCAAAGAGAAAGGAAAACTTGAAATCGCATCATATGACCGCTTTAATAGTGAAACACACCACTTTCATAATACCATCAATTCTGTCCGTGTTGTCTGTGTAGTGTACAGTGTGTACTGTGTAGTGTTGTAGTGCGTCTCCGCAGCTGCAGGTGTCGCTGTTGAGTTACGTCACTCTGGCCGGCCACTCGCGCGAAGAAGAATAGAAACCAACGAGTTTTGTTTACAAGCGTGTCGCGTTCATACACTTTTACAATCTGAGTTTTTAAGGCTTTAAACCACACAGAAATCGTCATGGATGTTGGGGAGCTGCTGAATTATCAGGTACCGACGCGTTTAATGTCTCTCCGTGACTTTATACGGATGAGTTTGTCATTGGTTGATCGTATTCTGCTGCTGCTAGTATTAGCATTATCTTAAACTTTAGTCGTTAGTGCAAAAATAAACCGCTTTTTGAATCGTTACAAATGATTTAGTTGTGTTTAGGGTTGTTGTAAGCGCTGATTAATCTTTTACTGAATTAGCATAGACGCATGCGGGTTATTTAGGGGTTGTTTCTATTTAAATACACTTTATGAGTTTAATGTGTTATTCATTGCATTAATTTAAATGCTTATTTTATCGGGATTTTGTGTAGCTGTCAGATTCAGTCGTACTTGCCCAGCAGTAAAAGTACATGGTACAGAGATGTATTAAAGCTAAAGCCATAGATCCATGTCCAAAAGCTATGCTAGTGCTATGTAGCTTTTTAAAGATTGCTTTTGTAATTTTGCAACTGAACAACATTTCCTCGATTAACCGAGCGTACAAGGTGTTTATTAGGATCAAATAGGATTTTAGTTTAACATGTATTCATTACATTTACATTAATTTAGCAAAGGCTTTTATCCTAAAACATAAAGGCCCGGTTTCACAGACAGGGCTTAGACTAAGCCAGGATTAGGCTATAGTTCAATTAGGACATTTAAGTCATTTTTATGAACTGACTTCATACTTAGAAAAAGCATTACTGGTGTGCATCTTGAGATAAAACAAAGGCACTGATATATTTTAAGATCAGTCTGTGCAAGTTTCTTTCAGTTGGAACAGCTCAGACTTACATTTTAGGCTAGGATTAGGCTTAAGCCTTGTCTGTGGAACCGGGGGATAATATAATATCAGTCTGATACATTTTTCATACTTTTTTTTTTTTTCAATGACTTTTAACAAAAGTACTATCCTTTAGCCTTTTTTTTTTTTTTTTTTTACAAAATACAGTCAAATCGTTTAATTAATAATATTGTTTATTAATAATATTTTTGTTTTCAGGCTGTTGCCAATAATTAAAACAGCAACAATAATAATAATTGTTTTTGTTGTTATTATTATTATTTTGTTATGGCTGAAAACCAATTTGACTAATGATATTATAAATGTTTCTTGAAACAACATGCCTAAAGTATGTTTATTGGGATGTTATTTCAAAATTATTAGGACTTTTGTTTAACATTTTTCCATTACATATTTATTTATTTATTTATTAATTTAGCAGACGGTTTTAACCAAAGCAGTAAAAATGTAAAATATTGTATTGGTCTGATTAGGCCAATAATAGAAGTGTAAAATATCAGGATTTACTTTCAGTTTTTCAAAGTCTTCTCTTTTTTATTATTTGTTTTTATTTGTACATTATCTAGTTTTAATACCTGATTTAATGCATTTTTAAACTGAGATTGGAAACGTACTGTAAAAAAACAATATAATTATATTAGTAAGCTTATTGGTAATCTGCATTTAAAATATTGGTTGTTTACTTCTGCATAGCAGCGAGCTCAACAAGTATGACATTGTATTTTTGTTCGGAAGTTAATAAAAAGGTCGTCTTCTAGTTATAGTGGCAGAAACGTCTTCGTTACATAAGTGACGTTATATTATAATATCTAACGAGTATAGATTTGCACTGAGTTGTGAGTGTTGTTCTCTTTGATGCAGATGTGTGCGATCACTCTTGTATAAATCTGAGAATAGTCTCTCATGGTCAAATCATGTGAAATAATCTTCTCTTTTCAGCCCGACCGAGGTGCCAAGAGACCCAGAGATGAAGACAGCCGCGAGGAGTCCAGAAGCAAGCAGAAGACGGCGGGCCGAGACACAGGACGGGTGCTGGTGAGATCAGAGCCGGACAGCGAGGAGCAGACAGGAGACGGGGAGAAGATCCTGGAGAGACTGATGGATCAGGATGGAGAAGATCCAGAGGTGAGATCAAACCAGAGTCATATGGGGTTATTTTACGTGCAACAAGACCTCTGAATGCTTAATTATAAACACAAATGTGCTCTCTGAATATGTGTGGTGAGTAACATATGTGACCATGGACCACAAAACCAATCTTAAGTGTCAATTTTTCAAAATAAATGAGCTTTCCATTGGTGTAAGGTTTGTTAGGATCTGACAATATTTGGCTGAGATACAACTATGTGAATATCTGGAATCTGAGGGTGCAAAAAAATCTAAATATTGAGAAAATCATCTTTAAAGTTGTTCAAATAAAGTCATTGGCAATGCATATTACTAATAAAAAATTAAGTTTTGATATATTTACGGTAGGAAATTTACAAAATATCTTCATGGAACATGATCTTTACTTAATATCCTAATGATTTTTGGCATAAAAGAAAAATCAATAATTCTGACCCATACAATGTATTTTTGGCTATTGCTACAAATATACCCCAGCGACTTAACACTGCTTTTGTGCTCCAGAGTCACACATTACAGGTTGACTTTTTTATGCCAGTGTAATTTTATTTGATAAACGGTTTATTTAATAATGTATAGTAATATAAGTATTTCATGGTTTTCACAATGCACAGTGTTTCAAAAATATTGCAGTAATAATAATGTCTACTATTCTAAAGACCTCATTTAACAATTCAATTAAAAGAAAGTTTTGTGATGGGGGGGGGGGGGGGGGGGGGGGGGGGAATTGTGATGGACAGTTATATAATCTACTGTTTAACCTGTTTTCTTTTCTTTTTTTTTTAAACACAAGACAGTGGCAGAAAAAGTTTTAGAATTTTTATTATGTTAATGTAAAAAATCTTGTGTAATATAACTTGTTTGTTTGCTGGTTTTGTATTTGTTATACTTGTATTTTTTTTGCCAAGAAAATAGCCTAAGATGCTGACATGGCATTAAATATAAATATACTACTACTTAACACAAGACAGTTTTTTATATTTTATGACCTATAACCAATAATTGTTTTGTGTAATTTTAAATAATTGATTAGATTTAATGTTTAATATTTGTGTTTTCTTGTGTCTTGTGGCAATAATAATAATAATAATAATTATGACCAATAACAAATTTGCTAATATTTTAAATATTTGCTGTTTAACCTGTTTTTAAACACAAAATACAGTTTTTCATATTATAACCAATAAGTATAAATAATTATTTAAATGTATGTTTTAAATAATAATAATAATAATAATGATGATAATAATAATAATATATTATGGCCAGTAACCGGTTTGATTGCTAATATTGTAAATGTTTACTGATTTTAAACACAATACAGTTTTTCATATTTTATTGTTTGTGTAATTCTAAATAATTAATTAGATTTTTTATTAATTTATTCTGGTGTCAATAATAAAATATTTGTTATTTAAATATTTATTGTTACCATTAATCTGTTTTTAACCAATAATGTATTTTTAGTTATTATATAGATGTGGTGTTATTGCCAGTATTAAAAATCTAGACTGTTTTGCATATATTTTTTAAATAGCATTCGCACTAGATTCCAATCTAGAATTTTTCATGCTTAAATAAAATTAACCATAAAAACATTTTAGTGTACTGTAGAAAAGGTGCATAACTGTTGATAGTTATGCACCTTTAGGTGTATAAAATAGTATTTTGAACTTGATAAAAGCAGGTCTCATGTAATTCAGAGGGACACTGGTCTCTAAAGATGAGAATCATGACCTTTGACCTCCTGACCTGCTGTGTATTGACAGGGTGAGCTTGTGGATGAGAGCACAGTGAAGAAAATGATCCTGACCTTTGAGAAGAGATCCTACAAAAACCAGGAGCTGAGGATCAAGTTTCCCGACAACCCCGAGAAGTGAGTTATGAAGAATTTAACTCCACTTCTAAATCTCACCATTATATGGCAAATGAGATACAAACAGTGAGATGTGACCTCACTTCCTGTTGTCGGCAGGTTCATGGAGGCGGAGCTTGACCTGAATGACATCATCCAGGAGATGCATGTCATCGCCACGATTCCAGAGCTGTATCATCTGCTGGTGGAGCTGAACGCCGTCCACTCTCTGCTCGGCCTCCTCAGCCACGACAACACTGATATCCTCAGCATCACAAACCACCAGAGATCATATTTGTGTCCCTGGAGCTCAAAAGCAGTGTTAAGTCGCTGGGGTATATTTGTAGCAATAGCCAAAAATACATTGTATGGGTCAAAATTATACATTTTTCTTTTATGCCAAAAATCATTAGGATTTTAAGTGAAGATCATGCTCCATGAAGATATTTTGTAAATTTCCTACCGTAAATATATCAAAACTTAATTATGTTTTTTGTTATATGGATGTGGTGTTATTGCCAATATTAAAAGTCTATTCTGTTTTGCATGTATTTATTAAATAGCATTCACACTAGAGCTCCAATCTAGAATTTTTCATGCTTCAAATAAAAATAGCCATAAAAACATTTTAGGTGTATGAAGTCGTATTTTGAACCCGAAAACAGCAAGTCTCGTGTAATTCAGAGGCACGCTGGTGTCTCTCTATACTGAAGAGAATCATGACCTTTGACCTCCTGACCTGCTGTGTGTTAACAGGGCGAGCCCGTGGATGAGAGCACAGTGAAGAAAATGATCCTGACCTTTGAGAAGAGATCCTACAAAAACCAGGAGCTGCGGATCAAGTTTCCCGACAACCCCGAGAAGTGAGTTTAAATCTCACCGTTCACTTTATATGGGAAATGAGAGGCAAACAGAGAGGCACAACCTCACTTCCTGTTGTCGGCAGGTTCATGGAGGCGGAGCTTGACCTGAATGACATCATCCAGGAGATGCATGTCATCGCCACGATTCCAGAGCTGTATCATCTGCTGGTGGAGCTGAACGCCGTCCACTCTCTGCTCGGCCTCCTCAGCCACGACAACACTGATATCCTCAGCATCACAAACCACCAGAGATCATATTTGTGTCCCTGGAGCTCAAAAGCAGTGTTAAGTCACTGGGGTATATTTGTAGCAATAGCCAAAAATACATTGTATGGGTCAAAATTATACATTTTTCTTTTATGCCAAAAATCATTAGGATTTTAAGTGAAGATCATGCTCCATGAAGATATTTTGTAAATTTCCTACCGTAAATATATCAAAACTTAATTTTTGATTAGTAATATGCAATGCTAAGAACTTTATTTGAACAACTTTAAAGATGATTTTCTTTTTTGCACCCTCAGATTCCAGATTTTCAAATAGTTGTATCTCAGCCAAATATTGTCCGATCCTAACAAACCTTACATCAATGAAAGCTCATTTATTCAGCTTTCAGATGATGTATAAATCTCAATTTCAAAAAATTGACCCTTATGACTGCTTTTGTGGTCCAGGGTCACATATTACACTAACACCATTTTTATGAAATAGAAATCACAGTAATATAATAAGAAACTCTAGTGCTCAAAGAATTGCTTTTAATATTAGTAAGTTAGTTAGATTAGTAGATGCACTGTCTATTGGCATGTTTAAAATTTACTCATTAGATTTATGTTTATTAATTTAGTAGATTTTTTATGTGAAAATTATATCTGCCTAAATAATTGTTAATTTATCTTTTTTTGTATCAAAACATTGAGGAGTATGCAAAATCTTATTAAAATTATCAAATGTTTTGTAATACTTTTTGTCCAATTCTGGATTGGCAAATTTACTGTATAAAAGATATATTTATTTTAATATATTATTGTAAGTAATCATTGGTAATCAGTCAAGAAAAATATTGGTTATCATCTATTTAAAAACTATTTTAAAAAAGGTTAAAAAAAAACGGTTGGAAATATAATAAAAGCTGTTAGCAGTCATAACCCCGAAAATGATCACATAAACGACCATTATAATAATAATAATAAAAAAAAAAAAATGTATTAGCCATAACAACAAAAATATAAACTACCTTTCAAAATTTGGGCTCGGTACAATTCAAAACTGCATTTATTTGATTTAAAATGTTTCACAATATATTTCACAAAATATATAATATTTAATATATAAAATGTTCACAAAATAGTACAGAAAATCATATTTTGAAATATTATTGCAATTCAAAATGAGTGTTTTCTATATGAATGTTTTAAAATGTAATTTATTCCTGTGATCAAATCTGAATTTTCAGCATCATTGCTCCAGTCTTCAGTGTCACATGATCTTCAGAAATCAGTATAATATGCTGATTTGCTGCACAGGACACATTTCTGATTATTAATAATGTTGAAAACAGTTGTGCTGCTTCATGATGAATAGAATGTTAAAAAAACAGCATTTATCTGAAATAGAAATCTAAAAAATTTAGCATTTAAATGTCTTTAAAAAAAAAAAAAAGTACCGACCCCAAACTTTTGAGAAGTAGTGTTATTATATTGCTTATAGCACATAAAAAACTAAATCAATATCTGCCTAATTTTCTCTATTTAAAATATGCTCATGTTTTGTGTTTAGCTGTTGGTCAGTGTTGTAAGTCCTTAACGTGAATCACATATCAGCATCGCGGTGGTGGATCTCCTGCAGGAGCTGACAGACATCGACACGCTTCACGAGAGCGAGGAGGGGGCAGAGGTGCTCATCGACGCTCTGGTAAGGAAATATTTATGTAATAATCAGAGAAAACACATCATCAGTGGCGTTACAGGATATTACGGGCTGATTCACCAGCGTTAGCGGGTCAAGGTCCAGCGGCACAATGGGATTATTAGGAGAAAATGACACGAATTACTGCTGCGAGAAATGCAGCCTCGTATTTGTCCTGACGTTTGCAAGAGAAGCAGAGAGAGATGACATTTATGTCCAGGCGGTTGTTGAGGTTGTGCAATCACTGCTTGTGTCAGATGGAGCAGAGGAAATAGGAGGAACTTGTGAACAATCAGAGGCTGATTGAACCGCATGCGTCTGATTGCTGCCGTTGAGTATTTGTGTTGTGCAGCCAAGCAAACGCATTTACACGTCTGAATAACTCTTTATATGGCATCTCAACAAACAGGCTATAAAATAGGGCTTTATGTATACAATTTTATTAAATTAGTACATTCCATTTATTTTATTATACTGATATGAATTTAATATATTATTTAAATTTATTATTTAATAATTTTTTTACAAACAACATCTAACCTGGATTTTCCAGGTTCACCGTTAAAAAAAATTCAGAGATTTTTTGAGACACTTCATAGCAAGTAAACCAGATCTTTATTAGCACTCTGTATATATAATATATATAAATATCTGTATATTTGTTTTCAGAGAAAATGATTTCAGATTTAGCCATCTCTAAATGAAAAAAAAAAACACTTTAATTTAGCAGGAATGCGTTAAATTGGTACTTTTAAAATTGACAGTAAAATATTACAAAAGATCTCTATTTGAAATAAATGCTGTTCTTTTGAACTTTTTATTAATCAAAGAATCTAAGAAAATAAAATGTATCAGTTCCCACAAAAATAAGCAGCAACACAACTGTTTTCAACATTATTAATATTTAGAAATGTTTCTTGAGCAGCAAATCAGCATATTAGAATGATTTCTGAAGGATCATGTGACACTGAAGACTGGAGTAATGATGCTGGAAATTCAGCTGCGCATCACAGAAATAAATTACATTTTACAATATATTCATGTAGTAAGTTATTTTAAATTATAAAATTATTTCACAATTTTTACTGTATTTTTGATCAAATAAATGCAGCCTAAGTGAGCATCAACCTCAGGATCTCTTAATACATTTTTATTTTTTCATTTATTTTATTTGTATATAGTTTTGGCATGCGTCTAAATTTAGTTTCAAACCCTGATTTGTATGACTATTTTCTAGCAGTAGCCTAAATAAATGTCTCCATGTTTCTTTGTTTGTTGAATGGTTTGTGTAGTTGGAGGGTCAGGTTGTCGCTCTCATGGTGCAGAATATGGAGCGTTTGGATGAGACGGTGAAGGAAGAAGCTGATGGCGTTTACAACACTTTAGGTAAGTCACACACCAACCAACTAACAACACACATGCGCTAGTCTGAGGAGCAGGCTTCAGTCTGAGTTTTATCAGTTCACTGGGAAAACAAGTCACGTTTAGAAGTTTCCAAACTACAACTAAATGCTGGATTGCCAAGTTTGCCTTTGAGATTGCTTTTCTTTTTAACAAAAAAAAAAGCATTCCTGAAGCTCAAATGGTTGAGCATGGTGCTATCAATGCCAAGGTCTTGGGTTAGTGTTTTTTAAGAAAATTAATTAGCTGATAAAATAAATACCTTGAATGAGTTTTGGATAAGTGTCTGCCAAATGCTTAAATATAAATGCAGTGACATACTGTATAACATATAATACATTTCTGTAATTATAAATAATTTATTAATTTATTTTTTATTATTAGTAATATAATAACAGTATTTATTTTTATATAGGCTACAAGCATGTAAAAAATCTGTGATTTTTTTTTAGGCACTTTGTAGCAAGTAAACCTGATATTTGAGCTCATCTGTATGTTTGTTTTCAGAGAATGAAAAGTTCCTCTAAATGAAAAAAAAGTATTCAGTAAGGACAGTCAAAAGTGACAGTAAAGACATTTATAATGTTACAAAAGATTTGTATTTCAAATAAATGCTGTTAAACTTTCTATTCATCAAGGAATGCTGAAAATAAATGTATCATGCTTTCCACAAAAATATTGTGCAGCACAACTGTTTTCAACACTGATAATAATCAGAAATGTTTCTTAAGCAGCAAATCAGCATATTAGAATGATTTCTGAAGATCATGTGACACTGAAGACTGGAGTAATGATGCTGAAAATTCAGCTGCGCATCACAGAAATACATTACAGTTTAATATGTATTCACATAGAAAACCGTTATTTGAATTGTTTTTGATCAAATAAACACAGCCTTAGAAAGCCTAAGAGACTTTTTCAAAAACATTAAAATCTTAATTGTTCCAAACTTTTGGTAGTATATGTATAAAAATGTATACAATAAAGCAAATGTCTTTTTAAGAAGGAGGAAATGGCTGAATGCTCCTTTAAAGCTGTTTTGCTGTTGGAAACACTGCGTCTGGCTTGCGTTGGCAGGTTTGCTTCTGGAAAGATGCTGCTCAGCTGCAGAGAGAGATAAATGGTCTGACTGAACGGATTTAAACGGCACATTTCCTCCATGTCTTCCTCTGCTGTTCCAGTTCTTGTGTAATCTCTTTCCCTTCCTCATGAGATTTCGCACCCTCTCTCTCTTCCTCCCACTCATCGCTGTGAGATTTTTCTCCCATCATGCCTCTGATTGAGTTATCAGGTGTCTTCAGAGTCTTTTGTAATACAGATGAGTCTCGAACACCCTTGTGATGTGTCAAATAGAGCTGTTCGCTCTTTCCGTCTTTTTGTGCGTCCCAGGCTCGACAATGAGTTTTTTTTGCTGGTCTGGGCGGTAGTTCAGATTTTTACTCACACTGGTGACATTTTCTCAGGCCCTGAGGCTAAAGCAAGATTTTATTTTTGCTTTTTTTAGGAACCTATTTTTTAATGGTGTCATAAGCAAATAATTTTTTATTAAAGCAATAGTTCACCCAAACTATTTCTCTTTTCCATACAAATGCCGGTGACCATGTGTGTCAAGCTCCAAAAGCTGCAAAATAGACAACAAAAATGCCATAAAAGCAGTCAGGTTTACCATCACTTCTAGCGAGAATCTTAAAAAAAAAAAAAACACTTTAGTATGAATTACTCGGGCTTATTAAATTATATTATATGAATGGGATAAATGCAGAGCACTAATTCCGAGTGTGGGTCACCATACTTGGCCACATGTCACGTCACGTGTTTGAAATGCATGTTTAAAAATATAAAATAAATTTGTTTTATACGTCACCATCAAAAAAGTTTTATTTATTTTATTTATTTTAAATGCAAAGATTTATGCATTTATTTATTATTATTTATGTGTTTAAACGTTTATTTAAGCATTTGAGGATTTATTTATTCATTTGTGATTTTATTTGTGTTAATGCATTTTAGGATTTATGCATTTATATATTTAAGGATTTATATGTTTAAGCATTTATTTATGCATTTATTTAAGCATTTGAGGTTTATATGGTATTTATTTGTGTATTTATATATTTTAGGATTTATGAATTTGTTTATTCATTTATGCTTTTAAGCATTCATTCAAGGATTTATTTGTGTTTAAAGGGTTAGTTCACCCAAAAATGAAAATTAGCCCATAAATTACTTGCCCATAAATTGCTCTCCCTCAAGTCATCCTAGGTGTATATGACTTTCTTTTTTCAGACGAATCCAGTCGGAGTTATATTAAAAATTGCCTTTGATCTTTCAAGCTGTTTCATGGCACTCAGCGGGTGTTGCATGCATCGGTCCAAAAGAAGTTAAATAAAAATCGCTCATCCATAAAAAAAAGTGTCTCACACGGCTCCGGGGGGTGAACAAAGTCCTCCTGTAGCGAATCGATGCGTTTTTGTAAGAAAAATATCCATATTCAAAACGTAATAATCACTTTAATGTAGCTTGCGCTTACTGTTGTACACAGAAGCAGCTCCGGGCGGATGATGCATGAGTTCAGCGGAGAGATCAAAACAAAACAACGGTCACTAATTAGAAGTACAAAACGAGGATTTGTAAAGAAGAATGCAAGAATTGAAAGATTTCGATGTAAGCCAAGAGGAGACTGGTTTTCCTTTGCTAAAGTAAGGAAACTTTGCTTCCTTTGCTCCTGTTAACTGTCTCACACGGCTCCGGGGGGTGAACAAAAGCCTTCTGTAGCGAATCGATGCATTTTTTAAAGAAAAATATCCATATTCAAAACGTAATAATCACTTTAATGTAGCTTGCGCTTACTGTTGTACACTGGAAGCAGCTCCGGGCTGATGATGCATGAGTTCAGCGGAGAGATCAAAACAAAACAACGGTCACTAATTAGAAGTACAAAACGAGGATTTGTAAAGAAGAATGCAAGAATTGAAAGATTTCGATGTAAGCCAAGAGGAGACTGGTTTTCCTTTGCTAAAGTAAGGAAACTTTGCTTCCTTTGCTCCTGTTAACAAACGTTGGTTTTCACGAGACTCACCGGCGCATGCGCAGCGCTGAACTCATACGTCATCAGCCCAAAATGCATCAATTCGCTACAGAAGGCCTTTGTTCACCCCCCAGAGCCGTGTGAGACATTTTTTATGGATGCTTTTTATTTAACTTCTTTTGGACTAATGCATGCAACACCCGCTGAGTGGCATTAAACAGCTTGAAAGATCAAAGACAATTTTTAATATAACTCCGACTGGATTCGTCTGAAAGAAGTAAGCGATATACACCTAGGATGACTTGAGGGTGAGTAATTTATGGACTAATTTAAATTTTTGGGTGAACTAACCCTTTAAGCATTCGTTTATACATTTATTTATGCATTTAGGCCTATTTTTTATTTTTTTATTTATGTACATAAGGATCTATTTATATGTTTTTATGCCTTTTTATTTATGCATTAAATTTTTTTTATATAACAGAATACATTTAATTAGAATTAGTAAACATTTATTATTACGCATTTATGTAATGAAATTCTCATGATTTGAATCATAGCCAGTTTTTAACACATTGGACCGAGTGTAAAATAAGTGCTGTGGTTTCTGCGTTCCTGCATTCATGTGTCGAGTGAATGTGTTCTGATCTCACTGCTGTGTCTCCATCAGTTATCATGGCAACTATGTGAAACAGACGCTGCAGAAACTAGGTCATAATACAACACACGTTTCAGAGAAGCATGGACTTACAGTAACAGCAGATCTCTCTGTCTTTCTGTGGCAGCTGTGATCGAGAACATGGCCGAGTTTCGTCCCGGTCTGTGTACAGAAGCGGCCCAGCAGGGTTTGATGCAGTGGCTGCTGAAGAGGATCAAGGTAACATCACTCCATTCACTGATGGGTCATGTTGTCTTTATGAGTGTAGTCTGCTCATAGATGAAATCTGATGACAGAGTTTGGCTGATTATTATTTTGGCTTGACAAACCAACATACTGTTATTGTACAAAACTACCAAAATCTCTTAACATGTGACCAAACTCTGGCAAAGAGTTTTCAAACTACATCCACTTAAACTTCGCACAGACCTACAGCCAGTCTGTGTGTGGTTTATTTATTTATGCGCTTTTTTTTTTCATGCATTTTATTTATTATTGCATTTTATTTGTGCATTAATTTTTGCAAATATGTGTGCATTTATTTATACATTTATTTATTTATTATTTTTGTATCTACTTATTTAGGCATTTGTTTATGCTTTTTTTGCATTTATTTATTAAGGCATTTATTGAAGCATTTAAGAATTTATTTATGCATTTGTTTATGCTTTATTTTGCAGTTATGTACTTTATTTTACATATTTATGTTTGCATTTTTTTCATTTATGCATTTATTTACAGGGTTAGTAAATAATATATACATATGTACAGTGGTGTGATAAAGTGTTGGCCCCCTTCCTGATTTCTTATTTTTTTTGCTTGTTTGTCACACTTTAATGTTTCAGATCATCGAAACAAATTTAAATATTACACAAAGATAATGCAAGTAAATACAAAATGCAGTTTTTAAATGATTTCGTTTATTAAGGGAAAAAAGCTGTCCAAACCTACGAGGACCTACGTGAAAAATTAATTGCCCCCTCCTGTTAAATCATGAAAGAACTGCAATTAAGCACATTATTTTAGAAAGCTGAGTTAAATTTCACTAGCCACACGCAGGCCTGATTACTGCCAGACCTGTTGAATCAAGAAATCACTTGAATAGAACCTGTCTGACAAAGTGAAGCATGCTAGTGTGAAAAAATGGCAAAAAAAAAAAAAAAAACAGGAAGGGGGCAAAAACCTTTTCACACCACTGGACTGATGAGACAAAATACATTATTAATTTATTTAAATTAATTTATTATTATTTGCACATTTTGCTTAATTGGCTTTGCTTTATTAATTATGGTAACTGCATGGTTTTATGGTCAGTGAGCTGCTTTACTATTTGCATTTATGTATTTAAGCATTTAATTTATTTATTTATTAATACATTTATCTATTATTGCATTGATTTTATATATGCATTCATTTATGCATTTATTTATGTACTTTATTTTTGCATTTAATCATTCATTCAGCATTAAGTATTTATACATTTATTTACAGGTTTTGTAAATAATGTAAACATAGTTATTAATTTATTTAAATATATTTATTATTATTTCCAGGTATTTCTTAATTGACTTTGCTTTATTGATTATGGTAATGGTAACTATACATGATTACATGGTCAGCGAGCTGCTTTACTGTTTGCATTTATGCGTTTATTTATTCATTTGTGCATTCGTGCGTTTATGCATTTTTTAAGGATGTTGCAACTGTGTAATATCTGTGCGCAGAATTGCAAAAATAATAACCCATTGGTTAGTCAGAGATGGTCATGATGGACCACTCAAACAAACACAGCAATGATTCAGCATTTTAAAAGTGCATCAGTGATTCCAGTTATTTCACTCTATATTTAACTGTGAGTAACTTACTTAAGAGATTACTCTGCTGCATTAAACTGGGATAGACATCAGAAAAATTACACACTTCACCTTTAAGTTCAAAGTCAAGCACAAGATATATATTTTTAAAATAACTTGTCTTTTTTGTTTTCCTGGCATTGAACAGACAGTGTCAGCTGGTTTGAAGTTGGCTGTGCGTTCTGACGGGTTTAACTCGATCATTTGTATTTTTTGAGCTGGATTTGAGATTTTCATAAGAGCTGTAGGCCTGCTGCCACAATTCACACTGTCTTTTATCCACGTGAGGTGAAATCCTCCTCAGATTTACCGCTGGCTGCTGGAATAAGAGCGTCATGCTGTTCAAGTCTTAATGCTTCCTGAAGACTTCCATGAATCCAGCACACCAGCAATTACACTGACAATAGAGAAGACGGCACACAGATTGAATGGGACGCTGCTGCCAAAGACATTGAAACTGTGTGTTTGTTGTGTTCCCAAACAGGCCAAGATGCCTTTTGATGCCAATAAGCTGTACTGCAGTGAAATACTGGCTATCCTGTTGCAAAACAATGACAGTAAGTAAAAATAAGAGACGGGTTGCGTTGATTGGTGTGTGCATGGCTTCATTAAAGACTCCAGTGAATTACATTAATTCTAGTGAATAATTACAAGCTCAATGAGAAACAAAATCTTTTTAAAGAAATCGTTCACCCGAAAATGAACATTTGCTGAATTTTTCCTCACCCTCACGCCATCAAAGATGTATGTGATATTGTTTCTTCATCAGATTTGGAGAAATGTAGCATTCCATCACTATGGATCACCAACAGATCCTCTGCAGTGAATGGGTGCCGTCAGAATGAGAGTCCAAACAGCTGATAAAAACATCACAATAATCAACAAGTAATCCACACCACTCCAGTCCATCAATGAATATCTTGAGAAGACAAAAGCTGCGTGTTTGTAAGAAACAAAACAAAACTTGTGGATTATTGAGGTGTTTTTATCAGCTGTTTGGACTCTCATTCTGACGGCACCCATTCACTGCAGAGGATCCATTGGAGAGCAAGTGATGGAATGCTACATTTCTCCAAATCTGATGAACAAACAACATCCTATACATCTTGGATGGCCTGAGGGCGAGTAAAAATGCAGCAAATGTTCATTTTCGTTACATTTACATTATCTACATTATTCAGCTGAGTTCATGTATGTGTGTATGTATATATATATATATAAATAAAAAATTTTTATTTATTTTTTTTACATTTTTAACAATAATAGGGCCCTATGAAATGTTTTAGCTTTGATCAAATTCATTATCGAAAATGGTAGTAATCAAATGAATGTATAAAATGTCATAGTGACCAAGGTGGGGGATGGTGTTCAGCCGAAATCCTGGCATCCAGTATATTGAGTGAGGGGACTGTGACGACTTGTTAATCTAATGAATAATTGATTTGTTAAATCAAATAAAAATTAGTGTGTCAGATTGGTCGAGACGCTACAGTAAAAATATTTTTAAAACGTACACCGTTCAAACTAGGCTGCTTATGTTGAAGTGTTTGGGATGTGGCTTTTAATGTTGAGACCTTTTTTGTAATCAGGCTCTCAAAAAGTATATAACAATTTGGATATAAATTTATCGGCCAACATATCGGTTATCGGCTTTCAAAAATAAAGAATAATCGGTTATCGGTATCTGCCAAAATTTTCATATCGGTGCATCCCTAGTAATTATCATTTGAAAATCTAATCAAATTATAATGTAACAATTTCTTTTATTTTTTGGCAAATGAAGTGCTGCACAATAGGGATTTAGTGTTTTAATTAAAATATGGACAACAAATGTGCGATTTTTCCTTAAAAAAAACAATGTTTAGTGAATTGTGTTTTTATTATTACTCTGAAAAGTAAAATCATCATTATGTCAGTCACTCTGCTCTCCAGATATCTGCATTGGCTATAAACTTCTTTTGAACACTTTTCCTTTTTGCATTTATAATTGATGTAGTCATAATTTATAACAAGTCATGTCTTTTAATATCAACTGAAAATCCCACAATCGCAAAATGTCAAGCTGTTCACACCGAGTGAAGGAAAAAAAAAAAAAAAAAAGAAGTATCGTTGGAGGTCACTGATTTTCATGCCAAAAATATGCTGTGACTTTTTGTACTGATGTGAAAAGGCCTTTTCTCTTAACAGTATTTAAAGGAATAGTTCACCAAAATGGGCCATTCAGGATATCCTATTTTTTTTAATCAAATACAGTACTGAAATTATAAATCTTATGTAATGTTTGTAATACTGATGTGAGTTGGTTGTAAATTTTTTATTTTTTTTACTACTACTGTTTGACTAACTCTTTGTTTCCTTTAAAATGCATTGATTTTGCCATTAAAGTAGCCAGAAATTCAACTGATTAAACATGCTTTTTTTTATTATTTAAACTTAATTCAAACGAAGTCCAGAAAATTAAAACAGAATACATTGCATTTGGTAAAAATCAAGCTGATTTCATACTCATTCTGTGATGTATGACTTTAGTAATGGAGCTCAATAAGGCTGTTGATTATTTGTGTTGTTTTGGTTTGTAATTTTGCTCTTCTGAGCTCAGTACCTGCATTTATCACATGCACGTCTCTCTCTCTCTAGGCTTTATTAGCACACTGAACTAACATTCATCATCTTTGCTCTTCGTGTCTGTCTCTCTCACTGATTTCTGTCCTCCCACTCCTCTCTCTCTCTCTCTCTCTCTCTCTCTCTCTCTCTCTCTCTCTCAGAAACGAGGGAGCTGTTGGGAGAAATGGACGGGATTGATGTACTACTGCAGCAGCTCTCAGTAAGTCAGTTTCTCTGTGTAAGAGCAGCAAACCTCGTCTGAAATCACAGTGTGAGACTCTTTAGAGATCATCATGACCCAGAACATATGGCCGGCTTCATTCATTCTGCTCCACGCTGCTGTTTTCTCTTTTCATAATCGTTTTAACATCACTTTGATGATGTTTGTGTATTGCACAACATGACCAGACAATGTTTAATTTAAACGCATATCTGTGTAATTAAATAAAGAGAGGGTTTTGTTTTGGCCTGAGCAAATAAGATTTATTTGTATTCTTAATTAACATTTAATGCTTAATTTATCACAATAAAGCAGTGTGCTCCTAAACTCTTTATAACTCTTTTTGAGTTATAAAGATCTGCCTATCTGTCTATCTGTCTATCTGTCTATCTGTCTATCTGTCTGTCTGTCTGTCTATCTATCTATCTGTCTGTCTCTCTGTCTGTCTCTCTGTCTCTCTTTCTTTAATATTTTTATACATTAACATTTTTACAAGAATATTGTTCATGCTTCTTTTTCATGACAATTAAGTACAATGTATTCATTAAATATTTATAAAAGGCTTAATTTTTTTCGTTATTAATTAAATAATTATATTTTTATTCATTAATGTTTTTTATTTTAATTATAAATTTTTTTAAGAAGTTATTGATAATGATTGGTCTTGATGACAAGCACAATGTGCTCCTAAAATCTTAATAAAAGGCTTTATTCATTCATTTACATTTACATTTTTTTTCTCCTCGCAGGTGTTTAAGCGTCATAATCCAGCCACGGCAGAGGAACAGGAAATGATGGAGAATCTGTTTGATGCCCTCTGTTCTTGCCTCATGCATCCAGCCAATCGTGATCGTTTCCTCAGGGGGGAGGGGCTTCAGCTCATGAACCTCATGCTCAGGTGCGTCTCTGATTGACAGCTACAGTTTGTTCCCAAAGTTATTGATTTTATTTAATTGTATTTTCTAAATATTTTATATATTTTTATTTTTCCTATTTGTCCTGTTCTCTCTCTCTCCGCCACTCTGTTACTCTCTGCGTCTCCTCTTTGACATGTGAAATATTTTCCCGAGGCGTAGATAAACTGTTGTTTGTCATTGGCGGATGAAGGAAGTGCCAGTATGACGGACAGCTACATTTCCCTTGAGCAAGGCCATGATTGTCAGCTTCCGTCTGTACAGGCCTCTCTCGTGGAGCGCTTTCAGACTCCAACATGCTGTTTATATCAGTTTCTTGTTTTATATACACCTGGAGAAATTCATACAATATCCTCCTTGACTTTAAGAACAACCAATGAATGTGTAAAATGAAAGTGGACTGTTGAGAAAATGAGACAAAGGCTTCGTGAATGAACATCAGTTTTCTTTTTCTAAAACGTACAGAAATTAATTCTGCTTGTGTTTCTTGAAGTCCAAGGTTTTCGCTCTCAAGTCCAATTTTAGCCAAGGCAGGTTTCTTTATATAACACATTTCATGCATAGTACATTTAGTACATGGTAATTCAAAGAAAAGGAATAAGAAATACAAAAAAGTAAAAATATAATTTTTGAATGGTTTTGAAAAAAAAAAACTTGTTACAAGTAAAGTTTACTTGTTAGGGTTAAACTATTTGTTTATTAGTCAAATTAGTGATCATTGTTTTTATTATATAAATTAGATTATAAATGAATGTTTTTTTTATTAGTAAATGTCTGCAATTTAATTGCTATTATTTTTGTTATATATAATAGTTTATTTGCATATGTATGGAATATAATACAATTGTTTGTTTTATGTGTGTCTGTAAATAGTTCTACAGTATATAATTATTAATATATAGAGACTATTATAATTATTATATATATATATATAGAACGATTAAGATTGCCTAGTGTGATGCACCCTTATTCTCCCGCATCCCGCAGACACGAGTCTCTACCCACCTGCGCCCGCACTCTACAATCAAGTGTTGTACCGTGCCGCACTCTGCTGCGTCGCAGAAAATCATGTGATTAATCGCGATGAAACATTTTCATCGTTGCCCAGCACTAATATAAATATATATATATTAGTGCTGTCAAATGATTAATCGAGATTAATCTCATCCAAAATAAGTTTTTGTTTACATAATATATGTATATGTACTGTGTATATTTATTAAGTATATATAAATACAATCACATGCATGTGTATATTTAAGAAAAAATTTATGTTTATATATTAAATATATTTATATATAATAATAAAATAAATGCATATACATGTAAATATTTTCAAAATATATACCCGATACCGATATGGTGGCCGATATATCGTGCATCCCTAATAAAAGTTTTTGTTTACATAATATGTGATTAATCGTTTGACAGCACTAATATATATATATAGAGAGAGAGAGAGAGAGTAACATGTAAATTATATACAATTTTATTTTTATTTAATTATTATGTTGTTTTGTTGTATATAATAGTATATTACATTATATGTATTATTTCTGATAACCATGACATTTTTTCTACTCAAAGTGAATTAATGGACATTTTTAAAAACATTTATCTTGTAAATAATATTAATTTTTATCAAATATAAATTTAAAATGTTGTATATAATTGTTATATTTATTAATGAATGAATGAATTTTTTATTTATAAAACAAATTTGTAAAATATAATATTGTTAAAATTGTACAATTTAAGTATTTTTAAGTATTTTAAATGTTATTATTCTTGCGGTTGTCATAAATATAGCCTTTGATGCATATATATATATATGCATGCAAATTTCTAATTTCTGTGCCGAATAAGTACTGCTCTTATTTCTAAGAATTACAAACTTTGTCCTTTCAATGGCTTTTAAGTAGTTAGCTCCTGCTTGTTTGTAGTTTAGTCTGAGTGTTGTACTTTAAAAGTGTGCCAATGATACATTTATCATTATGTCTGTTCAGGGAGAAGAAGGTGTCTCGAGTCAGTGCTCTGAAGGTCCTGGACTACGGGGTGATCGGTCCAGAGGGGTCGGATAACTGTCACAAGTTTGTGGACATCCTGGGCCTGCGGACCATATTCCCTTTGTTCATGAAGACGCCCAAGAAGATGAAGAAAGTGGGAGTATCGGACAAGGAGCACGAAGGTTTGTAGAAACCAGAGTCCTGAAATGCCTCTTTCTCTGTTGTAGCACTGTTTTGTTTCCAATTCAATATCATTTCCCACCAGTTTTATTCTTTTAAAATGGATTTAGTTTGGCGGAGCTGCTCAATTAGCGGCGAGTGCACACACGCAGAGGCGTTTGTAATATGACGGCGAGTTCACAGTAATATCTTTTTCTGGGCTATTATTTACAGTTCAGCCGGCGGTTTATTCCACGGGGAGTAAAACTCTGCGGCGGCTGCTCTTATTGTTTTGCCTCTGCGATACAAATAAGCTCCTCACACTATTCTTAATGGTTATTAGAGACCTGCAATGAGACATCCAGAGAGAGAGAGGATGCATCTCACTTCTGCTATTATTTCAAGCACTTACACAATGGAGGAAGAGTGTTTGATGGATATGAATGTGTAAGATGTGTTTGGATGGTGTGGAAAGAGGCATGTCTGAAATCAAGCTTAAGTGGATCCTATTCACCATTTCATTTGAATTAGTTTTATTAGTTTATTTGCAAATGTAATGCAATGGTTAATTGTCACACAAAAACAGTTAAAGGTCCTAACTGGTTTCGTTTACATGCAAACATTAATGTGTGGCTACATTCAGGGGAGAACATAGTGATAACACTCGTTGCCTTCTCTAGTGCAGCTCAACCAGGTCTCGTCCCATTCGTCCATATTTGTGATATCACAAATCCCGGAAAATATACATTGTAGTCCAAACGAGTCGTTCGTTGTAGTTTTTGCAACGTGATTTCTGTTAAATAAAATATCTCCTTTTGAAGTGGACTTTGAGCTTTGTAACTTTGCAGATCTTTTTTATGCTCAGACAGCAACATTACAGACTAACTAAAGTTGAAAAAGTGAAAAAGCATAATAGGACCCCTTTAAAAGCTCGTCAACTAAAATGTGGGGTTGAATGGTATTAAACGCAGATGAAAAGTCTATGAATAAAATTCTGGCATGTGTTTTACTTCCTTCTAAGTGTTTAAAAATCAAATTTAGCAAAGTTACAGTGGCATCCTCTACCCCTCTACCGGCCCTATATGCAAACTGTAAAGGGTCTAGAAGATTCCCTGTTTTTGTGATGAGTTCTTTTTTTCATTAATCTTTCAAAACACTTCATAACTAAAGAAGAAGCTGACTATCACAAGTATGTCCTTTAAGTGTCACCTTCAGATTTCTATTGTACTTTATGCCTGCGATAGTTTTCATGCCATCCCAGGCAGAACCTAAATTGTTATCTGCTAGCTGCCTCTCAATCTTCCCAGTATAACACTGCTTAGCTTTCATTATTTCAATTTTAACCTATTTTCTGAACCGATGGTTACCCTCCTGAAACGCACGTCTCTCTTTTTTTTTTTTATTAACAAAACCTTAAGTGATTGAGTCACCCATGGCTTACTATTCGGTAACACCTTCACAGATTTTTCAGGAATAACACTGTCAACACAATAAGAGACATAACCACTGACAACGTCCGTAAGTTCATTAATATTGGTGCAAGACTCCTTGAACATTTCCCAGTCTGTACAGTCATAACAGCCCTGTAGGCACAAAATGGACTCATCATTCCAGTCTTTCACACATTTAATAATTGCTCCTCAGGGCAGTACGATACTTCGGGATGAGTTGAAGTGAAGTGACATGTGGCCAAGTATGGTGACCCATACTAGGAATTAGTGCTCTGCATTTATCCCATTCAAAGTGCACACACACAGCAGTGAACACACACACACCGTGAACACACACCCGGAGCAGTGGGCAGCCTTTTTTTTTTTTTGCTGCGGCGCCCGGGGAGCAGTTGGGGCCTTGCTTAAGGGCACCTCAGTCGTGGTACACCTCAGAGAGCGCTGTACATTCACTCCCCCCACCTACAATCCCTGCCGGAACGAGACTCGAACCCACAACCTTTGGGTTACGAGTCAGATTTTCTAACCATTAGGCCACGACTTTGAACACAGTTATTTTCAGCCCCGCCCAGCGGGGAAAGGGGGAGAGCTTTGTATGCCCCTCTAACAGACCCATAACACAGATCCAAAATAAAAAAAAAGTTCTTTACAGCAAGACATATACAACATATATATATATATATAATAGGTAATAATTAACTAGTGAGAGTCACACACACACACAAAAAATCTGAAAATATCATTGCATCGGTCTTTTTTTAAAGTATTAGCTCATTTTGCACACATTTTCTTTTAATTGCACATTGTTTTGTGATGAATATGAACCCTGTTTTTAGGAACAATTAACCGTTATTGCATTAAGCACATTTCCGCCCCAATTTTTTTACTGTAGTGCAAAGAAAAAAAATGTATATCACATAAAATGTAAAAATATATTCCCCAAACTGCAGTAAGTAGCCTATTTATCATGCTAGTATTTGTTTAAAAGTTTGTTTGTTTATTTATTTATTTTGTAAATTGCACTTTGCCTATTTTTAGGATCCCATTTTTGCATGGCAGTTGCATTACTGTAATGCAGAATACATTTATAAAATAAAAATATAAAAAATATATATTTGCATATATTGGCTTAGCTCATTTGTCCTCAACAGTAACCGTTTATCCTTCAAAATAAAAATAGTTTATTATAAATAAGCAAATTTTTCATTTTTGTAAATTGGTTTGTTTGTTGTCTTCACATACACATGGTATTATGACGCTGTCATGCGCAATATGTTTGGTGTGAGATTACTCCGGCATCAATCAGCTGTTAGCCTCTTAATTCTTGACGACAAAAGGTGTTTGTGAAGATGCAGCGGTTAATTAATTACCAGCTTTGACAACTGAGTTTGAGTAATTAAACGGCTAAGCTCTTACGGCCGATCCAGAAAGTTCAGACTGATCCCCATAAAACCCCCTCTGAAATTTACTCGACTCATCACGCGCTCGCATTAGCATTCGTAATTAGCTGATTAGAAAGCGCGCTTTACGTTTGCAAACAGACCAGAACGATTTACAGAGGAGAAATAATGTGTTCTGCCGTATTGCATTGTGTGCAAGTCTTTTATTGACGGATAATAGTTTAAAAGAAGTGGGAAGAACAACAAAAAAGTTCAAACTCAAGCTAAACTTCTGCGCTGTTAATCACCAAACAAATGAACGGCGTCTTGCTTTTGTATAGAGAACTGAAACGACCGTCGACAGGTAAACAATCCTGACAGTCAGGCACAAGGAGAAAGAGACGCCGCTAATCTTCCCGCGCTTTCAGCTCGAGCACAAGCGCGTGAAAAGAGCTTCGGCCGCTTTCACTTAACAAGAGCCGCTTCGCAGAATAATTGCATGTCGTCGAGCTGGAAAGCAAAGAATTGAGAAACTGTCAGGATGTTTTAGCTAATGACGTGTTAACGCCGGCAGGAGTGAAATAAGTTTTTCTTTTCAGTCGTGACACTGAACGTCCGTCTCGCGGTTGCCTTGAAATCTGAACTCATCAGCCAATTTAAGCTTCCTCTGTTAAAAATGTCTTGAATGCGGTTTGGCCGTTTTCTCCAGAGATAGAGAGAGGACTGTGTGTGTGTGTGTGTGTGTGTGTTGTTGAGACTCGGGGAAACGCTCAGAAGTACCTGAAGGTTTTGGGTTTGGTCCTGCCGCAGCCTCGCTCCAGGTCCCTTCTGACGCCTCGGGCCGGTGAAGATGAATATCCTCAGGATACAAGAAAGTTAAGATGAGACTAATAGAGGGCCAACTAATTCTGACTAGTGTAATTTTAGTATCATATTATTATAGTTTTAAATTAACATTTATTTTTCCATTTCCATTTTAATTTTGATTTAAGTTTTAGTAATTGGGTGTTTTTATTTTTTTCCCTGTAATTTCTGTCTGTTTTTTTTCTGTAGATTTTTTATTTTATTTTTATTTTGGTACGTCACATTAAAGTAAATGAAAATTAGAAATTGACAACTAGCTGAAAAAAGAACATTTTAATTTAATTTTAGTAATTTGTTATTTGCAATTTTACATTAGTTTTTTTTCTTTAAAATGCCTCTGGTTTTTATTCATTTTTATTTAAGTTTAATCTATATAATTTTCGTAAATCAAGTTAAACTAAATGAAAATGAAAACTGTTGAATTGGTGACTAACTGAAATAATTTGTTTTATTTCAGGTTACATTTTTCAAGCAAATGTTTTTATTCATATTTTGAATTAGTTATTTTTATATTTTCAGTTTTCATTTGAATTTCAGTTAAACAGTTAGCAATTGTGTATGTCAAATTTATAAGACTTTTCTTTCTTAGTTTCTTTTTCTTTCTTTTTCTTTCTTTCCTTCCTTCCTTCCTTCCTTCCTTCCTTCCTTCCTTCCAGTTGAGGTTATTTTAGCACATGAAGTTAAACTACATGAAAATTAAAAAAATTTTTTGCCAACTAGCTCAAATACATTTTCATTTAAATTTTAGTTAACATTTTAGTAATTTTGTTTCATGTTTTTGTCTTTTTTTTGTGTTGATATAGCTTCTTTTTTTTTTCTTCAATTTTTCTTCAGTTAATGTTTATTTTATTTCAAGCAATGTTTTTTCATTTAACCATATTAACCCTGATTCTGACTCCTGCATCTAAAATCCGCTCAAGTGGCTGTGGTTCTGTTTGGCTGATTATTCAGGATGTTTTAGCTAATGACGTGTTAACGCCGGCAGGAGTGAAATAAGTTTTTCTTTTCAGTCGTGACACTGAACGTCCGTCTCGCGGTTGCCTTGAAATCTGAACTCATCAGCCAATTTAAGCTTCCTCTGTTATAAACGTCTTGAATGCGGTTTGGCCGTTTTCTCCAGAGATAGAGGGAGGACTGTGTGTGTGTGTGTGTGTGTGTGTTGTTGAGACTCGGGGAAACGCTCAGAAGTACCTGAAGGTTTTGGGTTTGGTCCTGCCGCAGCCTCGCTCCAGGTCCCTTCTGACGCCTCGGGCCGGTGAAGATGAATATCCTCAGGATACAAGAAAGTTAAGATGAGACTAATAGAGGGCCAACTAATTCTGACTAGTGTAA